AATCGGTCCATGCATGTTCGAGATACAGGTGATCACGGACGCACGGACGCACACAGGGCAAAACATAAGTCCCAGTTTTCGGACTGCGTCCGAACGGGGACTAATTAAAACCCAGTGAATAATTAATCCTTTTACAGTATTCTAGTACTAAACCCTGTGAACAAAATTTGTCTAGAAATTATGTCAGACTCGCACAAGTCCACATTCTTGATAACATGGACTAATAAAAACAAAATAACAATATAAAATTTCAATCCTTTTATTTGTCTCCTTATGAAATAATGTACATTTTTTGGGTTCATAAAAAATGCTCTAACAAGGTGGAATCAGTCTTCAGTGGTATGAAGCAGGAAAACACATTTTGGGGAAAATTTCTTTTTTTCTTTTTTCAAGTCCTGTGATACCATTTCTCTCTATCCTCTAATCTCAGTCATGCATTAATATAGCAAGTTAGTAATATAGAACTGTGTACTAGATCAAAATTGCTAAGAAAACACTATAGTAACATATCTGGGGTCTGTTGTTTCTCGCTTCCATAGGAAAACAATCATAATATAAAATAACGCCCGATAGAAGTATTTGGAAAAAAATTGCAAAAATAAATTTTCATTATATCGCTGAATTGAAACAACGCAGAAAAAAAACATGTTATTAAGAACAAAAATGTTCAAAGAGTTACACTACTATTAAAGGAACATTTTGTTTGGTCCACTTCATGATTTATGCATCATTGATAAGCTGTAGAAATCAAGTACTTAGTGACAGAACCTTGTAAATAAAGCCATTTTCAAACTCTACAAGGTCAGGGGACAAACAGCCGAATGGGACATTTTGATATTTTTTTTTATGGCCTAATAAATATCACCCTACAGCTTATCAACCTTTTATTCTACCCTCTTTGTATGAAAAAATTAAAAGAAATAACATCAGCTTATTGGAAAATACCATCTCCAAAACAAGACCCCCACCTAGTTAGATTAAATTGACTGAATAGTTATATGTGAAAATCTAAACTACACTTAATATCGAGTAGATATTGATAGTCATGTTAAGTATATGAATGACTTAACCACTAAATAAATCTAACTTAGTGATGCAACAATAATTGAACAATAACAAAATTTGTTGAAAACCTCTGAATACAAAAGACAGAAATAACATAGACGATTATCAGCAACAATGGACTGCAGCATAATTTTGTTGACCACATGCCGTTTCAAATTAAGGGCAGTACAGCAAAGCTACAATTTAATATTTGGTTAAGGAGCAGTTTCGAAGAAGTATTTAAAACAAAGAGTTGCTCTGTCTGGATCAAGTGATACTTTTGAAATATGCAGAATTTATCAACAGCATTGTTTTGAATGAAGCTGTGGTCAAACTGGGGAATAACATGGCAGTTGAGAGGTCCAGCAACGATGCCTTGCTTTCTTCATTAAAACAGCTTCCCTGAATGTGATCGCACACTGTAAAGTGAAAAACAATATATAAGCTATTGTTAAAGCACACAAAAACAGACAAAGATAATATACCCCCAGAGCGCTGACAAAATTGAACGGCTGCTTTCCACAGATTTACTCCACAGCTTGGCTATCTGAGGGAAATTATACGGGATTTCTGAGGGCGTCAACTGGCTGTCAATTTGTCATTGAGAACTTATTGGATGGGGGCAAATGCTAACATTTAAACTATAACAGATTTTATTTGCATTAAATTTGCTCTTGCTTAATATATATAATACATAATAATAACATAAATGAGACTGTCTCATGCAGAATACACATTTCCAACAATGGAGGAGGTCACTCCCAGTCTATAATTTAGGAATAATCATGCACTGACTATCCGATTTATGAGTGCAATTTAAAGAGTTGTCCCATAGTTATTTTTTTTAAGATTGGGGGTTGGGGCAAATAAAACTAGATTTATACATTATAGTTTAGATATTTGATTATGGAAATCAAGTCTTCAACATTTCAGTTCGTCAAAAATGAAAGATTCAGTTTCCGGCATCACATCAGATATGCTAGTGAGGGGTTGTTAGCTGGGGCCTGGTTGAGGGACTGTTACCTGGGGCCTAGGGCAGGGGGTTGTTAGCTGGGGCCTTGGAGAGGGACTGTTAACTGGGGCCTGAGCGAGGAATCGTTAGCTATGGCCTGGGTGAGGGGTTGTTAAAGGGGGGCCCTGATATTTATATATAACCTGCACACCTGGCTTCCTACAGAACCTCGTTCAACTGGTTGCTTTACATGTCCTGACCAAATGACTGTTGTTGGTATGATTGGCTGGCTCGCACCCTACCAAAGAAAGAAATACTATTCAAATATCACAAACAAAAGCACTTTCATTCTCAGAAATCCCGTATTTCAATTATTTAATAACATAGGGGGACTTGCAGCTCAACAGGTTTGTTGATTTTATCAATTTGAATAATATTATAACAAATTGGTTACGTAATATAGAAAGAGCATATGTAAGTGCGTCAAATGCAATTAATATTGTGAATCACAATAATAAATGGACAGTGACACAATGCAAACACATCTTGGTAAACTGAGAGTGGTATTGAACACATTTCTGTTGCTACGATGAAATTTTAGTATTTTCAGAAGCTTCTTTTGCTTGAAGCATAAATGAATTTCAAAAAAAATAATCTACCGAGAAGAGGAAAAGATGAAAAAAAAAATGGAGAAAGAAACAACAGGAGGAGAAATGAGAGGAAACTAATACACACAAAACAACTTAAGAATGATAAAAACAGGAAATGATAACAAAGGCACAATCTCATATGTCTACTATAGGTACACTTGAGAAAGCCATACTACATGTAAAGTAGGATTTATTTCCACAAATTATCATCCGAAAAATATGGATTATTATCTGTTAAGTGAAATGCAGTTATCGTATTACAGAGAAAAAGGATGGTTGAAGATCAGTGATAGATGCATACGATGAATGTTTCAAACACCATAATGGCAGACTGTGATTTTTTGTTTGGAACAGGTGACAACAACAAAATCACTAGTCTTCCATATGGTATGTGACACAGGTTAGTAGTCTTCTCTCTGTACAGACACTGTCTAGACAGTTATATACATGTAGAAAAGCACAGGAAATTTTCAAGGGGGGAAAGTTCACGATACATTCAGTTTTTACACGATATTTCCATTAGAGACAAAATGAGTACTGTTTAACCCTTTCTGCGAGTAGGAAATTTCAGATTATTTTCATTAAAAATCATAATATTCAAAAATCAAATATCTTCTTACATTGCATCAATATTTTGGAGAGAAAATTAATCTGGAAGTTTTGACAAAACATGAAAATTTATTATTTTTTTTATTGGGAATTATAAACAGTAATAAATATCTTTCGCAACTCGTGTTATTTTGGGTCAAAGTAATTTATCTCAAGTTTGTGTATGTATTTTAAATATTTTTACATTTTTAATATTCAAATTCCGCCAATATTACTGATCAGAGAAAAACACCGAAATTAAAAAACACATAAATAATTAATGTATTCATAGTATTATATTGCAAAAGTTGCAGATAGCAGGTACAAGAGATAGCAGTGAATATCAGTTTCAAAAGGACCCCCAACCGCATTAAATAATAAATAAGACAGGCGAAGTGTTAACCTTTTCACCACCAGTTCCCTTTTTTCATCACCAATTCACAAAGTCCCATTATAGTCTTCATTTAACATAAAAAAACATTTTTTGAGTAAAAACTGAAAATTGACTCAAAATTCTGTTGGCTTCAAAATTAGGGTTCATTTCCAGAAATATTGTATAATATAAGAAATAAATGCAGAAAAATTTGAGCGAGAAATTCTGGTGATGAAAAAGTTAAATATGAATATTTAGCCACAGAATAGAACAAAGGCTTATTTGTCTTTTACTCACCTATTTTGAAGGAGGTACTGGGCATTCTGTATCTGCTCCGGTGTACCTTTGATGGTAATAATACGATCATTAGAACCAGGAAGAGGCTCATCAATCTTAATCAAGGCACCAGAATCTTCACGAATCTGTCCAATACGAGAACCACCCTTGCCAATGATAGATCCAGCCAACTGGAAAAAATTAAAAAAAAAATTAAACAATTACAATTGGCAGTTCTGCTCATATTCTCAGCTAGCATTATAATATTAGGTTTTTATATTTAGAGTTTATCTCCTGCTTTTTCTCCACAATGTAATTCAATTAACTTATCCACAGCCACCTGCTATAATCCCAGTGGAAATCTTAATCCAGATTAAACTGTCAATGAAGTCCAAGGTTGCCCCCTTCAATTGTGCACACTGCACAACTCATTCAATTGTTCAGCATCAATAATTATAAAATGTTCGGAAGCCAGCACACTTGAAAACACAGAAGGATGCTCCAACAGAAGCATATACAACCATAACATGCTCTAAACTCCTTAGACTTTCCAGATGATAATATACTGCAGTGTTTGTGTAGGTCTTTCACAGAATGTTTAATGCGTAATACTAGGTTTAAACCACTCATCTCACAAAACAAATTTTCCTGAATTTTGTGTTTTCACAAATGCCTAAAAATCAAAAAGATTCCTAGTGAAAATTTACAGTACCTATGGGAAATCTTGAGGCAGGCATCCACAATGACCAAAACAGTATAAATCATTTTTATTTATTTGAATTTAGGAAAATCGCAAAATATTGGAGCAATACAGAATTGCAGCAGTAACTTTGTAAAAATTATGAAACTGTTGAATTATGAAAATGCAATACTTACATCTTTAGGGATTGTCACCTGTGTGGTTGTAAACTGACTTGTGTTATACTGCTGGTCCATTCCAGCTGCAGATAAATAAAAATTTAGATTTAGAACACCATTCAGTATAGTCTCATTCTCTATGTACACAACATGTTCCCTCAGTCAGTATTCTCAAAAAAAGAGTCATGTAGCATGTACATGACAAGAGTCTATAGTCTATACAAAAAAGTCACACTGTACTATCCCTGAATGCATACAGTATCATATAAAAACTCAATAACAAAGTACTTACAATCGTATCCCTGTCCACCACCATAACCACCTCCACCCATCTGAAAATAAACAAAAATATTAACATTTCCACAGAAAATGAAACAAAGAATAACACAAGTACACATACATGACAACTTTAATGCTTTATTTTGTCCACCAGAACAGTTGACAGAGAGAAAGAGAAAAAAAAGAAAAAAAAAGAAAAAAAAAATCGATAAAACCAGTTTGTATTATTTTGAGTGTTGATATAAATTAAATACAATTGTAATTGGATTTCAGTTTTGGGAAAAAAGGAGTACCCGAGTTATTTTCAGTGGAAACAGATATTTATTTTTCCTCCACTCCACATGTTACAAAACTGCAGTTATTTTCTGATATTTCTAGGCAATGATTTAAATCTTTTTGCTTTAAAAGTAATAGCTAAGTCTAGCCCAGGAAATTTATAAGACGATAAAGAAACACAATATCAGCAAACTCTGCAGAATCATTATTTTCATCCTAGTTATTCATTTCACAGTGAGTAGTTGGCTTATTAATTTTGTACCGACTTGTATGAGAAAGAAAAGCAATGCACTCCACAAAAATTGCAATTATTGGATAGCTTACTGAATCTTGGGCGTAGCCTTGGTTACCGCCACCATAACCTCCTTGACCAGACTCGTAGTCGTCTCTGAAACAAGGAAAAGAACCATTATATAAACCATTCTCAATACAATCAGTTAATTGAAGTTTGAAACATGTTTTGCATAGGATTGAGTACCTGTAGTTATAACCTCCTCGTCCACCACCACGTCCGCCTCCACGACCACGTCCACCACGGAAGGGCATACTATTGCCTCCTCTGGGACTTCCACGGGAATTTCCACGGAAACCTCCGCCGCCACCACCAAGACCACCTCGTCCTCTCATTCCTCCTCTTTGGCCTCCTCGCATGGGTGGTGAAAAACGTTGAGGTCCACCACGTGGTCCTCCTCTTCCTCCGCGGCCTCCACCACCACGTCGTCCAAACTCATCACCATATCCATAGCCGCCATAGTCAAGGTATGGGTCATGGCAGTAGGGATCATATAACTGAACTGGTCCTTTGATTGGTGTCTGAAATAGGGGTACAAATTAGGGAAACTGTTAATCAACTACACAACATGAACTAACACATCAAAAAATACACTGATTATAAGCAAATAACGATATAGATGTTCAGTAAACAGTAAGTTGCATACCTGATTTAAGACATCCAGAATCATGCGCATACAGTTGATAACTACCTCGGGACTTCCATTCATCTGTACCACCCTCTCTGTAGAGTTGGGACACACTTCAGAATAGACCTTGATATTTGCACCAGTTTGCTACCAAAGTACATTAATAAGAGGTCAGAATATTGATTTTTGGAGCTTACTATTTAAGGGTGCTATAAAGGAACATGCAGGTGCCCTTACTATTACAATTCTTGCAATTGAGAAAATAAAGTATGCAGTGAAAAATCGGGTTAATCAACAGTTTCTGAAGAAATCATTGATTATTTATTTTGTGCTTCCAGTCCAGATCTACCCAAATCTAACAACACTTGTCAACATATACCTGGAAACAACATTTATAACACCTGCAACTTGATGCATTATCCATAATCTCCTAAAGCAGTTTCTAAAAACTGGAAAGAATTCTAGGAATTGTGTACTACACATTAACACTACTGATTTGGTCGAGATTAGACCCCCCCCCCACCCCAAAGATATAATCTGCATGTATTGGAATTGAATTGCCATACAGCTGGAAAATCATGCTGCTAGCCTCTCATAATAAAAATATGATGCCATGTAGTGTTTACAACATTCAAAGATAGTGTCTTACAGACGAGAAAGTTACGGCATCATGCATCCTGACAATAACCCTTTTTGCTAATATGAGATGAATAGAATTTAATATTTATTTCTTAACTAACTTTAATTATTTCCCCTTTCATTAAGAGACTGTAGTGTCATGGCAGAGAATGGTTATATCCTTTTTATTCTATTAGAAGCACACAGAAACCAAACATTGCATTTACTGTATGCTCATTAAAATACAACTTATTTTGATGATAGACATGCACTACTAATAGAGCAAATACAGTAATTACATTAATCAAAATGGTAAATTATAAAACATTTGCTTCAAATTCCTTAGTTATATGAGAAAATAAATGGAATGAAATGAGATCAATGAAAAGCAGGCAAAGGTAATTAATCGAATGACTTGGAGGGAAGGCTGGTCAGAGCAGAGGAAACCTACAAGGTGTGAAATGTTGAAAGGTTGATTAAAAGTTATCAAAGCTACCTCAGGATTGAAGATAGTGTCAATAGGTTAGAAGGCAATAATTCAAGGGAGGGATTACCTTAAAACTGGAAATGTTTTAATGAAATAAGTCGTATTAAGTTAACATACTCAGGGAAAAAAGCAACTCAATTGCATCTTGCATGTTTTAATAAATTATCACAAATGTCAGTCTTGATACTTTCAGAGAAACACCTCTTTAACCCATTATTTAAAAAAGGCCATGGTTTGTTTAATGTTGTCTTTTGACCAGCATTTTGATATACTACAAGGTTATCACAAGAATACGCCAAGTATCCATGAAGGCAGTGTGGCAACTAATGTGTAGCAGAAGGAAATGCTACCCGTACTGCCTGAGTGTATACTTTGCGGTATTCTCATGATAACCTCATTATTATACAACTTTTTCCTGGTTGTAATAAACTTTTATTGAGAGGGTATAGGCCAAAACGAAGATCAATTTTTGTGCTGTGTAGACATTTGCACGAGTGACGAGATTTTATTTCCACATTTTATATGTGCTGTGTTCAACGTAAATTAGGGGAAGTGTTCGAATACAACGTCAATAACCTGGAAGCGTCAATGTTGGTGATGTAGTTTACCCCATATACATTTTAAAATTTTAATGTTTGTATGAGTGCAGATACATTTTGGAATGTGCTGACATAGTCTTCCACGGAATGACAAAGTCTATTGTTTTTGATGCTAGACGTATAATAATGTAATTTATTTTCCCTGGATTTTAATCAGCAGAAGTAAATTCTAAATAAATTCTTCTACATTTGCTGAAAACAGTTTTGATGTTACAAGTTATTTATTTCCACAGATCCCAGACAAGTTCCATGCAAAATGGAGAAAAACAATATTATTTTCGCTCAATAATTCTTTTATCAAAATTAAAATGCAATTGAAAATAATAAAAGCCACATCAACAAAATAAATTGAATAGAGAATTAAATTAATTTACCTCTCTCAGTTCTTTGATCTTGAATCCAGCTCTGCCAATAATTGCTCCTGCTTGGCTTTGGTGGACCAGCATGCGCATTTCACAATCAAAATCCAAATCTTTGTATTGCTGATACTTTGAAAAGATTAACAAGAACATAGATGAGGATATGAAATAGGAGACATTACATTGTTGTCACACACAAAGGGTAAAGTTTAATCCCTTAAAATTCCTTCAGGGGAAACTAGTTTATTTTATATGAGGAAACATTTTTTGATGGTAAACATACTTTGACGTTCTATATGCAGTCACTACTATATGCAGTAGGCTTGTTAATGAACGAAAATGGATACCAGAAACTAATAAACACATGATTTATAGGAGAACAAACAATAACTGAATATCCTCCTACACATTGGATTATCAGTTATAAAGTTAAATGGTGAAAAATTGAAATTTTTAAGAAGTAAATGTTGTTCAATATAAATATGTGTAGTTCAGTATTTTGGCAAGTGAATAATATGAATACATGTGTAAGTTAAGTATTTTGCAAGGCAAATGATATACATGTTTGGATAAAAGTCCAGCACATGAATAATACTTGCATTAAATTTGCGCTATCAGTGGGCTTTCAAAAAATGTCAAAAATTATTATTTTAATGAATTAGTATACAATAAATGCTAAGATGTGACTCAATACGGTACCATGAGTAGTTCAGTATTTTGGTTAAAGATTACTCTTTAGTTCATGACAACATTTTAGTTAATGATGATAAATAAAGTATAGTTATGACGTACAAAAACAATCCATATTGCCTCTTTAACGAAAATTACAATTTGGAATTGGCCAGACTATTTAGAATAACAAAATTCTCTCCCTCAGGGAATACCTCACCCATTTACCTATATACCTTCCTTCCTTCCTAAGATGGTACTCCTAATCTTCTATTTTTAGAATTACGCGACACGAATCAAGCATATAATGGACAGATAACATTGTTTGTAAATGAAAAAGATTTTTACAGCATCTTTATAAAAATTGTAATTGCTGAATACAAGCTATTTGGTTTATAGCCTAATGTACAGGAAAAGACGTCTGTCTTAAATTATGTTACTATAGTTACAAAAGATTACTTGCAATTAATATTCATCGGATTGTTTCGCAAAAAGTGTCTCTTTTTTAGTGGCGATGGTGTTAAAATCTTTTTTTTTTAGAAATTTACACAATACTAAACCAGCATTGGGCATCATCTGTTCACATCTGTTTAGTAACATTCCATGCTTTTAAACCGATTCAAATTTATTAAGGGACAAATTTTCCTGAATTTCAATTTGCAGAATTAGCAAATACTTTCTAATTTATTTTTGCTTTAGAGAGGCTTCAGTGAAAATAAAATCCAGTGAATTTACTTTTTTGCTATATTTTACATTCAACTCATCAAAAATCTGTGAAAATAAATTCCATCCATAACACCCAAAAAGCCTTTTCAGCGAAAAATCAATTCCAGTCAAAATAAAGTATTTTACAGTATTTACATTATTGAATTAATAGACAAAATAATAACATGCATATTAAATGAAACGTACCTCTTCCAAGACTGGAATCACATCAAGCAAACAGGACAAAGCGGTCTCCTGATTGGTAGTTACAGTCAGGATTCTGTATAAGCAACATCCATTAATTCCCAATGAGCATCAAATCATTGCAAAATTAACGACGATGGAGAGAAAATGAAAACAAAATCAAGTTAGTTTTTAATAATGATGTCTGTAGATGAATTGGACATGGCTTCATTTTTTTTATTGCCAAAAAAAAAAGCTATCAATGTATAATACGATCAACTCGATTATCGTGTTCAATTCGATTAATAACTTTTCTACATGAGTAAACGCAATATTGTAATCTAGCAATTTCTTCCCCCTTCTCAAGTTATTCAATTATTGATGATGAATTAAAACTTAAGCAAAGTGAGAGATAAGAGAGAAAAACGAGGAAGAGAAAGAGAGAAAACACAAATGAGCACTAAAAACCAAACACAATCACTAAAAGTAAACACCAAATAAGGAGGAAAATAAAATATCTACTTTCTACAAAACCCAACCCAATGAGTCATTACATTTTTCTAAGCATAGCAATAATATATATAAGCAACAAATCAATTCTTCTTTATATGCCCCACCCATGTTATATTTAGTCCAAGAAGGGAAAACTGACATAAAAGCTAGAAAGTCTATATAATAATAAATAAATAAATATGGGCTTGCAAGAGAAGCTACACACTGGGACGTACCGCTCGGGCCCGCTGCAGTCGGGCACTGTGACTGTTGCATTGTACTGGATGCAGGACGATTGGAAGTTGCGGAACAGGGATTCGGACACAACGGGCCACAGTGGTCAGGTCGTGTTCCAGAACAGGGCCAGGGACATGGCATTGTGGGCACAGGCGATGGCAGGTGGGCAGTCATTCGTTCGTATCATAGACGACATCATGGTGGGCCGGGCAAGTAGTCGAATACAGTATCAGATCATATCAGAGTTCATTGGAGCGTGCAGTATGGGGGAATAAATAAGTAAAAGAGAAGGGTTCATGGGCACATGTGGGCAAAACGGGCAAAATATTATAATATAAATAACGATAAAAATGCAATAATGCATACAATCAAATAAACATGGCATGATACACTGCTGATTCACCAAATAAATTCAAATAATTATACGCAGAAAATATATATTGAATTTGATATGTAATAAAAACGTATTATAGTAAATTTGTTCTTCTCCATTTTCCAAACAGTTCTTTTTAGCATCAATTTTTTCAAAATGATTTAGGCAAGTATACACAATTTATCAGCAATACATGTAATAAATATATATATATAATAGATATAAAATGGAATAACAATATTTACTAATCTTTAGTTATATATGGCAGAATTAAAATGATATAAAACACACAAGTTAAAATGATTATCACAATATAGTAAGACTAACATGAATGTTAGAGTATTACACTACGTCATGCACATCAGTGTATATACATGGTGAACTGTGATAATTCGTTAACACGCAGTATGATTAACTAATGATAATTATGGGCAATATTTTTTTCAGGTGTCAATTGATGTTTAAAAAAACATGCAGTGTTGTGACAATCCACTAGATGATGGGAGTCATTAAAGTGTTGTTAACGTGAAGATGATATGATGTCTTACCTGAGTTCTCAATCTATGTATATTATTACCTCCTTTGCCAATGATGGCCCCTGCATTCTGCAAAATAGAAATAATATCAAAAATTATAGGTAGACAGTTCACATATTCATTTTGGGTAACAATTTTTAATATCATTTGCAAGTGAAAAACAATGAAATTATGCAGCTGTGATCATTACTGTAGAATACTTTATTTTCGCTTGGAATTTATTTTCGCTATAGGGATGATTAGTGAAATTAAAATCCAGCGAATATACTTTTTTCCCCATATTTCACATTAAACTCATCAAAAATCAGTGAAAATTAATTCCATATAAAACGCCCAAAAAGCCTTTTCGGCGAAAATTAATTCCAGCGAAAATAAAGTATTTTACAGTACTTGTAAAAGATGGAATCAGTTGCATGATTTGCAATAATCTTTACTAATATTTCAGAGTTTATCACTGGAAGTAAAAACTATACACTGTGGCTAGAAATTCTTCTTGGAAATTTGAGGGTGTATAATATAAACATGTGATTTTAGGACAGTTTTTTCGGAAACTACTGAAACTATTTTGCAAACATTTGTTTTGTAAAGTGATGCAAAGACTCTGAGAAGCTATTATCAACTGAATTCATGGTCTACAAGTACTGTCTATGCTTGATGATACAATGCAAAGACTTGATGATACAATGCAAAGACGAAATTAACTTTGTATTAGAAACCCACTAATCCAATGCATTCCCTACATCTTTACAAGACTTGAAAGCTATTTCACAAGCTGTATTCATTAAATAAATTGCCAGTATAATTCAGTCTGCAAATCTAACAGTCTGGTGTTAATGTGCATACAAATGTATAAAATATAGCAAAATACCACCACACTGCCTAAAAAACGAGCACTCAAATGAATCGATGAGAGTGAAACCAAATTTCGACAATTCCACAGATTTACCACAATGACAAAACAAATTCAAACATGTTGATATATATGCTCCTCAAATACTGTTATTCTTTTATAAAAGTCAACCATTAAAATTATTTAACCTTTATTCTGCTTGCCTTGTGTACTTTTACATTGACTTAACCAGATACAAGTTTAACCATTACATTTCATACACAAAATAAATTTAGCCACAGAGAATCCAGGTTAATATGCAAAGATGTCTTGACACATAATACATTTGAGTATGCAAAGCTGGAGACTAGACCTTTTCACACAAGTGAGACATAAGAAGATAGAAGTCTCCGCGGTAATATCTTGATCACGTATTATTTCAATATATCCCACCTAGAGGGATTCGGTAAAACAAACTACTATAAACCACTGCTATCAATAATCACAAGAATTTCTGACTTCTCTTGCACAGAATAAGACTATCCGTACTCCTGCCGTTGTTGACGGCATTGACAAGGATGAAATTATAGTCAGTGCGACGGTCTTAAAGACCTGAAAATGAGAAGCTCGCTGCTGGAAAATTGGCTTTTATTATATCACAACTCAAACTATTTATACATTTGAATTTCGAACTGTGAAAAATAATGTCACATGACTGCAGTTTTAGAAAAGCAACAGCTCTAAGTGTAATATAAAGGGATGCTGTATGCAAGTAAAAACTAACGGATACCCAGTCAAAAAACTGCTCAAAGGCTTTTTCCTTCACTGATGTGCATTAGTCTGCCATTCTTCATTTACTCAGATATTTCTCGACCGAGAATACAAGAGGAATATATGAGAGATAAGATGAATAGTAAAGAGCATTTTTATCTATGCAATGCCATAAAACATGCCAAAAAAAGCTGGATAAAGCCATTCATTACATCACCAAGAGGATCAATTCACAAGAATCCATTCATTAAATTTTCAAAAGAACATTTTCTGAAATGAAAATTTAATTGCAATCAAATCGGCTGTCGGCAAATGAAACATCACAGGCGCCTTTCCTTGGGCAAGAAGATCTAAAAGGAGACTTATTTTAATGAGATGCAAAGTCACATCCACAAAGTTAAATGGATAACTGTAGAATTCAATATCAATTTGATGACCGCGGTGAAATGTACTTTTGGAAAACTCCATAAAACGGGGCATTAATGATTTCAATTTCACAAAAATAGAAAAAATTAGAACACTGAAATATGTTTGATGCATCTGATTGATTAAAGTCACTTTTTCGCTTTATTTAAATCAAATTCAAACCGAAAAAACAAGTAACACCATAGAAATATATATTCTGGTCTCTATGGATACAGGCACAAGAAATAAGTACCTCTTTTCGGAGTCAATTGCTGAGCAAATTATCATCAACCTTGATTATCACTGAAATTTCTTGTGCTTGAATTTTTCATATTAAATTACAACAAAATGATCAAATCCATTCAAAATAATCCTACAATATCATTAAAATTTGTTTTTGAAGGCCTGAATACTTTACATAAATTTTCCAATCATTCAGAATTTGAAATCCGATTTACATACTACAAATAATTAGTTCCAAAGGCAAACAGGGATGAATGCATGTCGTCCTACAGGCTTTACAAAAAGGAGCTCAAACCCATCCCACATCATTTTTAGAAAGACTATTTCACTAGCAGGACTTTATTTTATTTTATTCTCTATATTATCTCTTTAAGGACAGTCATTGCGCGAATGTGCAAGTTTAATTTACCTTTCATGTAGCAAAGTATATACATCTGAATCCAACGTGCATTTACAAAAAAATTTGAAAGCATAATTCTGTGAAGCCCAACACCCTTTTAACATAAATTATAGTTGCATTTAATTCATTTATTTGACTAGCCAGAGCAATGGAATATAAACGACATCCCAAAGACTATTAAAGACGATCATGTACATTGTTTCATATTTCAATACTGAGATGCTCATTAGACAGACAAAAAAACAACTTCAGAATGTACTTCCAGATGCGAGTATCGTTGCTTCTATTTCATAATGTAGGACAGCCAACAAGAAAAGAGCCAAGGATAAAACATATTAAAAATTAATGAGGAATCATTCAAATTCCCATGACGCATTCTTAAGGAATGAAACCTAGTTCTTAGCCTAAACATCTCAATTCAATGTGTTTCTTTCACGTTGTCAAAAGGGTGAGATATTGACGAACATGTGAATAGAAATCCAAATACAGGGAGCAGAAACCAATCACTTGTCTTGCCTACCGTCTTATTAAAATTCATGCATCTCTCTCTACCTCATAATCACCACAATACGACTCCATCAAAGTGCAATTACATGGCTGAGTTAATCACCTCAATTTATGCCATAACAATTATATTAACATAGCAGTTTCTGTCATATCAGAGGATATTAAAATCTACATTTACATGAATATTCCAAACAGATGCTAACAAAAGTAACACACCCCTGAGACTGTTAAACAAGCTTATTTTTAATATTCCTCACTACAGGTCTTAGGATGATCCCACTACCCTGGAGTAAGAATATTAAACATGCCGATGGCTTTCCAAGTTACACAATAGCAATATTTTTTTCTCAAATCTACTAGCTTGAACCAGAGCATACTATCATTCTGAAGTAAAAGGTAAATTTCAAATTAATGCCAAAAGCAACACCAAACTAAAGCTTTCATATATCTTTCTGGTGGTTTCAAGTCACATGGTGCAAATACCTACAGCTGATTGGATGACACTTACCTTACTCTGTAACAAGATACGCAAATCCACTTTAGGGCCATCACCGCCACCTTTAGTTCTTTTGCTAGATTGTGAATTACCAATCTCCTCATCAGCTGGTCGTTTATTTCCTACAATCAAAACAAAGTTCCATGAACAAAGTGGATGCAAAATGAAATTTTAGCTTACACATTATCAAATGAAATTCTGAACGGCAATCTCCCCAAAGGTTGCACAGAGAAACATGCATGTTTCCATATAAATAATTTAATCCGAATTCCAGTTTATAATCTGTGCTTAGATTCCTATCAATAGACACCAGATAAGATGGTATAACATGCATAAGATAAAATAAATAAAACGGTTTCTGAGAAGCTACTTTATATGGCATGATACACGTCATGAGGAAACAAATTACAGACATACAACTGGCCATTAATGGAAACGAAAGCACAAGCTTGAATTAATAAGAGAAGAATGGTTACTAACAAAGGCAATGACATGCGACCAATATAAAAAAACAAATAAAAATGATTGTCAAAGTAAACCAGCAGACTAAGTAGGCACGGCAGCAT